GAAAAACAACCATTTTCATCAACCAGAAACGTTTGTCTTTTCCCTTCCCTAGGGTGTTGGCAAACAGGCAGTGTACACACCTCGAGGCATTTGTCATCGATTCTGGCCTTCAGGAAGGGGCCCACAATTCCCAATCAGCCCCTCTGGTCAGCACTTTGAACGCCGCTGCCCTGCGGCCTGGTGACCAGCCCCCTTGCAAGCCGCATGGAATGTAAAGTCTGTTTCCTGCAGGCTGGCTTTTCTGTGCGCAGTCACTGGGGAGGAGAGTGACAGTCTGATTGTTGAAGCAGCTGATGCAATGCATGAGGTACACCACACAGGGCCAGCCTTACAACTTGTGGTACCCTACACAACCTGAGCGCTTGGACCTCCACCATGTGCTGGCTCCGTGTGCCCTGGTCTCATGGTGTCTTCCCAGATGTCCGTGCCTGGCCGTCACGCCAAAGGCTCCCCGCTTGGTCCAGCACAGAGCTGTTGGATCTAATCAGTGTCTGAGGAGAGGAATCTGTTCAGTACCCATTGAAAATGACCGGTAGGAACTGGGACCCGTTCGGGCACATTTCTCCATCCTTGTGTTTAAAGGGGTATGAGCAGGACACGCTGCTGTGAAGATTGAAGAGTTCAGACAAGCCTGTCATAGCCTGTGAAGGGAGCCAACATCCCAGCGCTTCACTGAAAACCTGCTGGTTGTGGAAGGAGCTGGACACCATCCTTGGCGGAGACCCCACCTGCATCACCAAGAGCCCCATAGACACTTGGGAGGGTATGGAGGCCGTGCGCGGAGGACCTAACCTGAAGGATAAAATCGTAGACGAAGAGGTTGAGGTAGACAAGAACTGGGGCTCCTCCTGCGACCGCAGCCAGGCACTGCTCTCCACTGCTGACGGCAGAGCCAGGAAGCAGGGGCTGAGATGCTGGGTAGGTGGCTGTGGCTGGTGGAGTGCTGGGCTGCGGGTCTGTGGTCAAACACGCATCGATATGGCCCAACAGGAGGCCGATGTGCACCGTGGTCTCCATGGAATCCTGCAGAGATTGCCGATTGAAACGTTTCGCGAGGGTCTTGTAAATTTTCTACCTCAGGTTCCATTACAGGGCAGCTTTGTCTCCTCCCCCATTGTAGGACACTGGTCCTTACCAGGCACCACGGCAGACTGTAGGTGGGCTACAAAAGCCGCAAGCCTGGAGAAGCTGGGCCCCGGTTTCCTTGCTTGCCCTGAGCTGGGAGCTGCTCTGCCAGGGTGACACCCACCTATGGAGAAGAGTGGCGTGGTTAGAACTGTGTTCCTGTAATGGGAATGGAATTTCTTTTGTCTGTAAGCACAGCTGCCAGGCACCCCCACCCCCTCGCTCACCAGGACTATGGTTCTTGTCGAGATGCGCCGGCGGAAACATGAGTGGAAAGGTTGGAAAAGGGGGCTGTACGCGTGAATGTTACAGCATAGGACTTGATGCAAACAGACTCCTTTTTGTGAACTGTACTGAACATCAGAGACCTTGGTGGCCCCCCACAGATCACATCGGAGAGGCTGCAATACAAGGGAGTGCCCACAAAGAACCGAGAAGGACGTGGTGCATGGAATGCTCGCTCCATCATTGAATGAGTGCGGGCCTTGGGGAGAGCGCTGGGAAAGGGAATGGCGGAACTGCGAGGAGAAGCTGGCCTTCACCAGTGTTTAGTTAAGCAGCAGTGAGCCAACACAGTTGAATCCAACCACTCGGCGGATTAAAAACATTGTCCAGCAACGCCCCCGACAGTCTGACATTCCTTTTCCCCCTCGGGGAGTCCTCGTTTTCCCATGCACTCCTCCCCTGCTCCCAGCTTCGCTTATGATACCCACACCTGCACTCTCTTGTGAATTGTAACCCAGCAGCTCCCTTACCAGCTGTTGCGGATGCTTTATTGCATTTCAGAGCACTGTTTTCTGATGAATAAAGGCACACTGTTATAACAGTCAGAGTTTGTATTTAATGTTCAGTAATCTCACAGAGCAACCACTGGGCAGGCTTATAAGGCACGTTCCTGGCTATGTGTTGTTTTGGAGGCGGCGGGGGTTGCAGCCTGGAAGCAGCTGTCACAGAGGTTTATTTCAGAGCCCCTCGTTTTCAAAGGGCTCCCTCAAAGTCTCCCCGATGTTCACAGCAACCCTTAGAGCTCCTCTGACAGCTGTAATGGCAGCCAAGTGCTGTGCCTCAGGGCTCCAACTCTGAGCAAACATTTGCGCCTTAGATTCGCACAAGTTGTGCAAAGCGCAGCATGCTGTGATAGCCAGGGAAGATTGTCTTCATTGAGATCTAACCTGCCATACAGACACCTCCATCTCGCCTTCAATCTGCCAAAAGCACCTTCGACCACGGCACGGCTTCTGCTCAACCTGTTGTTAGAACACTGCTCAGTGCTGTTCAGGTTCCTTGTGGGTGGTTTTATGAGTCAGGGCTGCGAGGGATTAGCCAGGTCTCCCAGGATCACAATGGGCATTTCCACGCCCCCCGCTGTAATATGGAAAGAAAGTCCCCATTTTCCACTTTCTGTGCATCTTGTTCCTTTCCAGACCACGTTGCTGTCTGTGAAATACCCATGGTGATCCACAAGTGCCTATCACACCGCTGGGACATAGCCCTTCCTGTGGATGTACTTGGTGGCAAGGGGGGCTGGTGCTAACACGGGAATATGTGCCGTGCGCTGTGCCGCCTCTCCCCCATTTGGGAAATCTCATGTTCGCAAAGCCAGTCACCGTGCCATGCTCATTTCTTAGCAGAATGCGATGTGTTGCCCTGCACACGTGCAGCAGTCCAGATCCAATGGCAGACTTCCTGTGAAGTATTTTTAGAGTTAGGCTTTGTCTGCACTTATAACTTAGATTGATTTAGCTACAGCAGTTGCGGGTGAAACAAACCAACCCCCTGAGCAACATGGTTACATCTACAGGACTTTTAGGTGGAACGTTACTGGGAGAAACATTGAATCATAATAGCATAGAAGATTAGGGCTGGAAGACTAGGTCATCCAGTCCAAGACCCTGCTCAATGCAGAAACGACTCCAAGTAAGTCATAGAGTTGGAAGAGACCTCAGGAGTCATCCAGTCCAAGACCCTGCTCAAAGCAGAACCAACCCCAACTAAACCATCCCAGCCAGGGCTTTGTCAAACTAAGACTTAAAAACCTCTAGGGATGGAGGTTCCATCCTAGGGAACCCATCCCAGTGCTTCCCCACCCAGTAGTGAAATAGTTTTTCCTAATATGCAACCTAGACCTCCCCTACTGCCACTTGAGACCATTGCTCCTTGTTCTGCATCCATCACCACTGAAAATGGCCTCTCTCCATCCTCTTTGGAACCCCCCTTCAGGAAGTTGAAGGCTGCTATCAAATCCCCCCTCACTCCTCTCTTCTGTTGACTAAATAAGCCCAAATCCTTCAGTGTCTCCTCATAAGTTATGTGCCCCATCACCCATCTCAGACACTTTGAGAGATCTGGTCAAAAAGTGGCATTTCTTTTCTATTTATTGAATATTTTTTGTCCAAATGAAATGTATTAGATTTGAAATGGAAAATGTTTGCTTCAGTGTAATTTGAGTCAAATACAAATCAAAATAAGATGCTTTAATTTTTGGAAGCTATTTCCTTTTTTCCCCCCGTCTAACCTCCCCCTCACCTCCTAACTCCCTGCAAAAGTATGGGAAAGGAAGAGAAAGACTGACACACAAAAACAACAACTAATAATACATGAGTATTTTCATTTCAAATCTAATTACAATTTTTGTTTGGATGAAAAATTGATAAGCCAGCGAACATTTCCTAAGAAAAAGAAATTGTTTCATTTCAGTCCAGTTTTTCAAATTGAACTACATCAAAGAGTTTTAATGAAGAATTTGAAGTTTATAAAAGTTCATCAGAAACTCTGTTTTATGAAAAATGGTTTTAAACGGGACTTGAAGTGAGAGGGTCTGTGTTCTTTTGGCTTTGCAGTGTGCCATTTGGCAAATCATACAGTCCGTCTGCGCTAACTTAGAATCATAGAGTCATGGAAGCTGAGAGTTAGAAGAGACCTTAGGTGGTCATCCTGTCCAACCTTCTGCTGAAAACAGGAATAACCCAACTAACCCCCAATTAAACAGCTTCCCTATCTATAAAATAAGAATGAGATGCTAATAGATATGGTAATTATTTTTTAGATTAAAAAAAAATTCCCACTAAAAATGTGTGTGACTTTCTCACCCCCAAGGAAAAAATAGTATTTAACCAAATTTGTGGATTGTTTTAAAGAAAGTTTCTAAATAAGGCATTTTTTTCATTTCAGCTTAAACAGAATTGTTTCATTTTACTTTGTGAAAAGCAAATATTTTCTGAACATTCAAATGTGTTTTTCCTCTTTTCTCCTCCTCCCACTTCTTTTTGCAACTCTGAATCATTTAATAAATATTGTCCACATTGTTAGAGAGGGTTTTATTTGACCCCTTTTTCACTCAGCCCTGGTCTACCAGGACCTTATTCCGAAATAACCGTCTCCCCCCCCAGTTCAAATTTATAAGCGGTGTGTCCACACTACCAAGCCTGTTGTTTCCAAATAACAGGCGGCAGAATTAGAACCGGAGGTAAAAAATCTAGAATTTCAAAAAGTTGCTTTCATTTCTGAAGTGTAAATTGAAATGTCAATTTCAATCAAAATGAAACATTCTTTTTAAAGCAAATTGGAATCTAAATGAAGAAATACGATTTTGTTTCATTTTGAAATTCTCCCCTGGAAAAAAGAAATCAAAATATTTACAACAGAAATTCTTTGCTGGAAAGGAGTACGTTTTAGTCTCTGTTCAGAGACTATATAGTCTGTTCAGAGACTATATTTCTAAAATGCTTGGAGATCTCTGATATCCTGGCTCTTCAGAAGAGCACAGGATTAACTGAATTTCCACTTTGATGAAAGGCTACGTCCCAATGAGGCTTGTTGCGACTGGTTGCGCCTGGAACCTTTGTGTAAGCTGAGGTTTGTGTCGTTCTCTCCAGGATTTGCTGCAGAATTCTCCAAACTCAATGACTGCAGTGGCCAACAACCCCCAGGGAATTGTGGTACCGGCATCAGCGCTGCAGCAGGGGAACATCTCCATGACAACCGTCAATTCACAAGTTGTGTCAGGTGGGAGGCGTGGAACATACATCAGTGACCATGTTAGTCACGTCGTTTGCATGCTCGGCTTCTTTTCTGTAACTGACAAGAAAACCAGAGAAAATGGGCTGGCATGGAACCGGGTGGCACTTTGCACATCTCAGGTTTCTGACTCCAGTGCTGTGAAATGGGACCCTGCATGTTTCTGGTAAAGCTGAGATCATTAACTGCTCTGATGCTTCAGCTGGCGCTGCCTCCTTGGAGCCCGGCTCACAGTGCTTCTGGCTGGCCCCTGGGTTGCCAGAAGGTTTACTGGCATGTTACTGCCTCAGGACAATTCTTTGTGCTCTGTGCAGCATCTGATACCTCAGCAACTCTAGATCTGCCTTGGGTGCCGACCTGTGGCCCAAGATCAGTTCTGTCCAGTGCAGAATTGATGTGGTTTAAAAGAGCTGCTGTGCTGATGCATCAGGCGTCTGTCCTCTCCGCTTTACAGAACATCAAATCGTGTAGCTCCAGAGGTCTTCTTATCCTCAGAACAGGATGAGGGCAATCCATCCCCTAAGAGCTCCTCCAGGCTGGAGCTGTCCCCGGGCCTGGGAACCTGGCAGCTCTTGGCTTTGGAAGGGAGTAACCTTCTTTTGTCATACATTTGCTGGACCCTTTGGTTGAACTACAGGACTGGCTCTAGGCCCTGCTGTGTCTGGCTGGTCCAGTCCCTGTGCCTTTGCACTGGACAGCGTGCAACTCAGCGAGAAGCACTAATGTGCTCCCTTCCAAACTGACTCCTCATCACACCCTGAGCCACACTGGGACCAGGGAAACCACTGGCCTCGTGCCTACGCCTCTCCTTGGCCCGCCTGGAGAGCGAAATGCCAGCTGTTCCCTAACACTCTGCTTTGAACCATATCTTTGTCAGGCGGAGCCCTCTACCAGCCGGTAACGATGGTAACGTCTCAGGGCCAGATGGTAACCCAAGCAATCCCGCAAGGAGCCATACAGATCCAAAACACACAGGTAAGATGGGCGGGACTGAGGGGCTCGAAAGGGCTAAGCTAGAGCTTTGGCTTCCTTAGCGTTTCAAAGGGGGACAACTACAGGGCAAGGGCTTGCTCATCTTTCATTCATCACTGCTCTCTCAGCTTCCCCGGCTCCCCAGTCCCCTTTCCTGCCTGGCCTCAGCTCATGCTGCCCCTGGTGACACGCTCGCTCTCAGGACAGGTGGCCTCCCTTCCCTCCTCCCGTTCCAAACCCCTCATCATTTTTGTTTCCCTTTTCTGAACCTTTTCCAATGCCAAGAGATCTTTTTCAAGGTGAGGTGACCACAGCTGTACGCGGTGTTCCAGATGTGGGCGTCCCATGGTTTTAGAGAGAGACAATACGATGTTCTCTGTCTTATTCTCCATCCCTTTTTTTAATGACTCCCAACATTCTGTTTGTTTTTTTGCCTGCCGCTGCTCACGGAGTGGATGTTCTCAGAGAACTCTCCGCAATGCCTCCAAGATCTCTCTCTTAAGCCAGCCCTTGGATTTCCAAACCCAAGACCTCTGTAAACTTGAACTATTTACCAGACACTTCAGGCAAACTCATTGGGAAACGTAAACAGTTAAAATCTAACTTTGTAGTCAGTACATTTGTGTAAGTGGCTATACGCGATAGGCAAAAAGTCAGCGTAACGGTTTGTTTACACCGCTGTGCTACAGCGTGACCATGGCAGTGCCATGACTTGAGCAGTGTAGCCAGAGCTCACGGCAATAGAGCGACCCTCCCACCCAACGAGGGGTGGCAGCTTTATCGTCGGGACGTGGCTTGCATCGATAAAGCGCTGTCTGTACTGGTGCTTCTTGGTACTAAAACTTTTTGTAGCTCCCCAGAACTACAAGGAGAACAATTCCCCCCCCTCCCTGTGACATCCTTTTAGATACCTGAAAACGGCTCTCATGTCCCCTCTCAATCTTCTCCTTTCCAAACTAAACAAGCCCAATTCCTTCAGCCTCCCCTCATCGCTCATGTTCTCTAGATCTTTCATCATTCTTGTTGCTCTTCTCTGGACCTTCTCCAATTTCTCCACATCTTTCTTGAAATGTGGTACCCAGAACTGGACACAATACTCCAATTGAGGCCTAATCAGCGCAGAGTAGAGTGGAAGAATAACTTCTCGGGTCTTGCTCACAACACTCCTGTTCATGCAGCCCAGAATCATGTTTGCTTTTTTGCAAAGGCATCAACACTGTTGACTCATATTTAGCTTGTGGTCCACTGCGACCTCTAGATCCCTTTGTACCGTACTCCTTCCTAGACAGTCACTGCTCATTCTGTATGCATGAAATAAATTGTTCCTTCCGCAGTGGAGCACTTTGCATTTGTCCTTCTTAAACTTCATCCTATTTACCCTGCCCCCAGGCTCTAGGGGAACCATACCTTCTTCCCAAGGCCCTGCTTCTTCTGGGGGACTGGAGCCAACCCATGACCACAAACCAAAGTTCAAGAAGTGGGCCCTTCCCCTCCCCCGCAAAAATTATTGTCCACTCCTGGTTTAAAGACTTCGAGCTGCAGAGACTTCACCATTGACACTAGTTTAAATTTGAAAATGACCCATGTCCCATGCTGCTTCAGGCTACAGCAAATGTTTGACTAATCTGCACTGTATAGAACAGAAATGATAGGATGATGTAGAACAGTGCACAAGCTAATACAGCTGATATGGCAGTAATCACTCATCTACAGCTCCCACGCACATGAATTAGGGAGCTCAGTGAAAAGGTTCATTTGTTTTATTGTTCATCACTAGCTTGTTTCCTTTTTATTCTCCCCTTTCATAAATTACAGGTATTTGTAGACATGGATTCAAAATAATGCAATATGTATTCATGGTGCTAAAGAACTGCCCTGGCTTTCCATAGTGAGTGCATAGAGAGAGTGTCAAAACTAGCTGACAAATGTTTCTGTATGTGATTGTTTCACACAAAATGCACTATCCCCAGATAAGGATTGCAGATTTTAGCACTCAGGCTACATCTACACTGCAGGGTTTTTGCGCAAGACTTTTGAGGAAGAGTTCTTGCAAAAAATGTCTTGTGCAAAAGCGCGTCCACACCTCAAAGCGCATCGCTTTTGCAATGCGCTTTTGTGCAAAAGAGCATCCACACTGCATGGATGGTCTTGCGCAAGAAAGCTCTGATTGCCTTTCACAGAATGGCCATCAGAGCACCTGTGCTTTTTTGGATAGGCTCTTTTTGCACAAGAAATCCCTGTGGAGTATCCACACACCGTTTTGCGCAAGAGCTGTAGCGCAAAAAGGAGTTATGCTTGGTAGAAGGAGGAGCACATACACTGCAAAACTCCCTCTGTTCTGTCAATGGACTGTAGATTTTCTTGCACAAAAACACGCTTGAGGTGTGGCCGCTGTACGGGTTTTTGCGCAAAAATGGCCGTTTTTGCACAAAAACCTTGTAGTGTAGATGTTGCCTCAGAGTTTGCACAAAAACCTTATAGTGTAGATGTTGCCTCAGAATGCTAGAAGCAAGGTTGTCTATGCAACCGATCTCTGTGCCTCTTTCTTGACTGAGACAGGGTGCTTTCCTCACTGTACTCAGACTGTTGCAATACTCACAAGGGCCAGTTGTAAGACCACATGGATGTTTCTTACCTGGCCAGTGTTTGACTTTGCTGTCTTAACTTGCGTTTAATAAAGGTTGCGTGTGTGAAATTTTAGGGTTTTTTTAAGTCAACGTTCTGTCACATAGAACCATAATGGGAGATTCTTAAGAGCTGCTCAGACAAACACTTGTCAGGGACGGTCTCGATGGCACTTGGTCCTGTCGAGAGTGCAGGGGGTAGCCTGTTCTTCTGTCTGTAGTTAATCACACTTCTGGGTTCTGCTCTGGGTTCAGTCTCAAGTTCAGCGAAGGCATCTCTGCTCTAGACCCAGAGCCCCTTAGAGCACAAGAAACGGTAGGCACGTACACACACAGTGGCAAGAGCAGCTTCTTTTAATCATTTCATTAAAACTGCCAATGAAATCATAAAAGTAGCAGCATATGTAATTCCCAAAACGATACCGACCAGGCACGAGCTGTGACTATAGACAGACTCACATCCCCTAGGCGGTGCTAGAGTCGGGCGCCCTTGCATGGCTCGATTGTCAGTTCGGGAGAGGTTCCTGCTGGAGTCTCCCAGAGAGAGCTTAGTTTTCCCACTCTGGGCATCTCCAGATGTGATTCTCTGTGATTCTCTCTACGCCCGCATTCTCCATGTGTCCATAGAAGTGTCCACCCTCTTTTCTCCTATTGCTCTGTGTCCCCCGGAAACTTAAGGGACCCCCATTTTCCATAGGCTGGGTAAGTTCCCTTTATTCTCATTAGCATTGATGCTGGGTATGTAAAATCCTGTTTAATCAGAGAACCGCTTCATTTAAACTGATTAAGCAGGAACCTGGCGGGGCGGGGGGGCACTTCAGCCCAGCTGGAGCAGCCCCCAGGCCACCTGAAGCAGCTGGCTCCCAGCCCCTCACCAGGCCTGCCGGCCCACGTGTGGCTGCCGGCTCCCACCCCAGGCAGTGGCGTGGTAGCCCAGTGGGGATGGAGCAGCCCTCTGCCCTCGGCTGCCGACAGCGCCACATTTCAAAACAAGCTGTCTCGAAATACGCTCCACAATTTGCATAGCTCAAGTTCTGCAGCTTATTTCGAGCTATGTGCGACTGTAGAGGTACCCAAGGCACCTCTACTCCTTAACCTTCTCTTTCATAAGCCACATAAATGGAGCTCTCTGTTTTCTAACCCTTTTTCCCTATTTTCTGAACTCTTGCCAATTTTTCACCATTCTTGAGTGTGGACACTACAACTGGACACAGGAGTCCCGGCACGGTTGCTCCAGTGCCAAAGACAGAGGTAAAATAACCCAGTAGCCCTTTTTACCCTGGGATCATGTTCTGTTGATTAACCACCATGACCTCCCAGTCTTTTTCAGTCACTGCTCCTAGGGCACAGTCCCCCATCATGTAAGTACGGTCTTCATTCTTTGTTACAAATGTATGACTCTCTATTTAGCTGAATTGAAATGCACATTGTTGGCATCAGGGACCCATCCTATCCATTTCTATTTAGCTGAATTGAAATGCACATTTTTGGCATCAGGGATCCATCCTATCCATTATTTGCCATTCCCCCTCAATCCTTGTGTCATCAGCTGGTAGTATTTTTTCCATACTGATCCTTGATAAAAATGTTAAATAGCATAAGGTTGAGACCTGATTTCTGCGGGACCCACCTTAGAAAAACAAGTGCTCACTAATAGACGGAGCTTGGTCCTGCCTTGAGGGCGGGGGGCTGGACTCGATGACCTCTCGAGGTCCCTTCCAGTCCTATGATTCTATGATTCTGTGAATGATTCTCTGATTACAGTTACAATTTGAGACCTAACAGTTAGCAACATTTTTTATATCATTCTACTTTCTCCATCAAAATGTCATACCATATCACTTTTCAGTCCAACATAATATTATTATGAGGATCAGAGACACCATTTTTTCTGTAGCATTTAGTAAAAAGAAATGATATAAATATGAAAATGTTCAAAGTGCTCATTTTTGAGAGAGGGCCTGTATTTTGGGACCCTTGTTGGCCAAATAACCCTACATTTATATCATAATTTACACCCATGCCCACTTGTAGCATAACACATTTTAAGACAAACCCTGTAGGGAACTGGATTTTCCAGCCCCTCAAAAGTCAGCTTTTAAAACAGAAAGTTCTTCTCAGTCTTAACTGTGGAAGTGGCAGCCTTCCATAACATTGCCTAACAAGGCAAAAGCTTCCCCAAGTATCCCCTTGCTATTCCTTACAGATGGCTGCAGACACCTTCTTGGGGGTATGAAGATGCCATCCATTATCATTTTTAATTCTTTTTGGTTGGGGGAGAACTGCTCGTTTGAGACAGGAAAGTTTTGGAGAATTCCGTAGCCATCACTCATGTGTTCTACAGAAGAGCTCCCAATGGACCGGAGGCTGTGAAAGAGC